GCTGGCCCGTGAAAAAAAAAATTTAAAATTTGAAAAAAAAGGGGGGGGGTAAGATAAAATTATTGATGATATTGTTGAAGATTTCAAAAATCTTGCGATTCCTGAAAATTGATTGGAAAACAAATATTAAAATATATAATTTTTGAACAACTAAATTATAGTTAAGATTTAAGTAGGTGCCAATCTAGGTGAGATGTACTTGAACTATAAATTATAATAAAAGTAGGTGCCAACCTAGTTGGAATGTACTTATGCTATAAATATTTGATAATAGTAATTAGAAATGCATTTAGTTGTTATTTGTTTAACTTAAATTTAAATTTGCAAAGTTATAAATAATTTATATAACATTAAATTTGAATTCTATGTAAATATTTCTTGGTATAAATATGAATTTATCATTTTGTTCAATTCTTAAAGTGTGTTTGGTAGATATTAAAATCGAATTAAAATTGAAAAATTAGCCGNTTTTTTGCCATAAATATGAAAAATTCTATATTTTTATAATTTTATTTATACAATAATACGGGTCAAATCGGAACAAACCGCGACCCGTGACCCGAATGGGCTGACCCGGATGGGTCAATGGGCGGGCCTGGGTTCTAGTCCAAAATTTGTGGGCCGACCTGGAACCGGCCCGGAACCCGTAGCGGCAGACTTTTTTCATGCGGGCCGTTACCGGGCTCATATGTTGACGGGCAAAACCGGTCCGGACCACCCGGATTGACACCTCTAAGTTATATCAGTAAAAGAACACAGTTTGTATTAGCACACCTTGATGTGTTACCATGTATTGGTGAATAAATCCCACACTTACAGAAGTTGTTCAACATAAGCTTCTCAAATAATTCGGGATGCATCATATTCTGGGCAGAAACTTGAGACCTCAACCACGGGAAAAAATAAGGAGGGCGAGACGCAACAGGGTGTAAAGCTGCCGATAATGCTCCCAACGGAATAACAGGAACATTCAGTGCTTGTAAGGGATCTACCTGTTTTTCCCAGAATAAATTATGATAATCTCATCCTTATTTATTAACAGGTAAATAGAGTTGCACGAGACAATAAAAGCATCTTATTTCACTTACAAGGGGTAATAAAAACTTTAATGATGATCTCGAAGTAGCGTAGTCAAGTGACGCTCCCAATGTGACCACTGAAGCCAACCCAGAGTTCTTTCCTTCGTGGCCTAAATTAAGAGGGTCAAATATTAACACAGTACATATACATAAACAAATGTGGACATAGTTTCAGTTTGAAAGTTGAAAGCCTAACAATGGCTGAATTTTCCGTCCATATCTTCAGTTTATTCAGTAATACAATTTTCATACATGTGATGCAAAACTTACAGACAGAGAACAGACAAAGGAAGTCAATGTTCAAAATTGTAGAAATCAGATAAGAACATGTGAATGATTAAGAGCCAATAGGTGAGAAATGCATCTTATATTAACAAGGGATAATCAATGCAAGTACACTTCACAAAAATATCTGAACTACAACTATTTCTTCGCTTTTCGCTTTCTAATGTTAATTTAGACTTAGTAAAGCAAAAATCGTTTGTAGGATATTTGAAACTCAGAAACATCGAAGATGAAACTTAAGAGCCAGTCTTTGAATACCTCCTTTTTTACAAGTGGATCAAAAAACAAAAATAAGCTCCAACAAAACAAAATTGCTATCACTAAGTGGGTGAACTATACGTAGCATAAACCTAAATGAAGGGTTTTTCAAAGGCATTCATTCGCATCCCTAGAGGCAATGTTCATCACTTAAGGTGTATGCCTCATTGGACAAGCGGCTTTTCCCCTGCTTCAAG